TTAAAACTAAAAAAAGAGCAGAATATCCGCCAAAAAAGTACTGTAGAAGTATCATAAATTAGCAACTGATTTTTTTCAGGTAGGTTAACAACTGGAATAAAAAATACATAATTTATAGACATTATTTATTTTGAAATAATTTTCGACATAGCACCGTTCCGATCAAATAAATTACTTCACAGTACGAAATAACACAGTTACACTGCCAAAATATCAAAATCAACGGAAGAAGAAAATACTGAGAAACAATAATCGCGCTTCTTGGCAAGAATAACTACAAGGTGTCACATGCTCACATGTGTATTTGATATCCACGATCATGAGGGGGAATAAACCTTTACTAAACGTTACCAAAACAATTTTTTTTGCTGAAATTGGTTTCGTTTTTTGAGACAAACAACGCATTAATTGAACAATGAGTCAAAAGATGAGAGACTTATTGATGTTTTCGTGTATTCTTTCAGTATTCTTCAGCCAATGTATATGAATGAATATTCTATGAAACTTTGTTTGACTATGACACCCTGTATCTAAGTAGATGTATTCGATACATTTTAGCTGGGTAAAAAGTTTTTTACAACTATTTCTTCTACATAATCGCTTCAATCACATACTTTACAGGAGTAAAAGTCTTTAGAAATCGAAGATAATGCAATCATCGTAGGGAATATAGTTAAATACAATCCTATAAATACAAAAGTATTGCTTAAACAGTATGTAATAAAGGAACAATTATAAGTAGTATGAAAGCATCTTTTAAAAATATACAGCTAAATAGCAGACATTTTAGATCTTAAAATGCAACAGCCCTCGGAGAATCATGAAACCTAGTGCCGAATGCTTAGTAATTCCTTAACATGAAGCCTCTTCACGATAACGACACATCATCTTCCTTGTATATTCCTGAACTTCAATGTTTCCTTATACCATCACCTCTCTCTTGTAACTCAGGGCCAATGAAAATATTGTCACGGATAATCTGTAGGCCTTAAGTCAGAAAAGGCGTCTTTTTGACAATACAGCTCTTCTATCGTGAATAAATGACGAGGCAAATGAGGCGTCTTCAAAATAAGGAACCACTATACATCCAATATCATCATTTTCATTACATTCTATCAACCTATCAAAAAAAAATCACAAAATCATAAAGTGCCACGTTTTACATAATATAAGTCATAAATTCTATATATAATTATTGTACAAATAATAAGGTATACACAGTTATATATAAATAAATAAACACGATATAACAATAAGAGGGGAATGATATGATAACCCAAGAGAATGAAGTAAAAGCTTAATCGTCAACAAAAAATAATAAATAAGATGAAGAGCTGTAGGAAATATTTACAATCTTATCGAGCTAATATACACAACGAAAAATTATATTGATTTTTTAAAACATCAGTCTTCCAAAGAACTTCGTTTAATGCACTTTTCCAAGGCACTGAATATATAGCATATAGCGTATACAAAAACTCAATCACTTTTTAAACAAAGTTTCTGACATGATTATTTCAAACCGAACAATTTCTTTTTGACGATGTTCAAACTAGCTGTTAGAGTTTACAACTACAGAAATTCTTGAAAGTTAACTAAAGTTAACTTGGAAATGTCAGCAAAACCTTTAATTTACAAAATATTTTACCTTCCATTGGCATTGACGCCAAAAATATTGTTTGCCATTCGATTGATTAACGTGAAGATAACTAACCTAATACTCTATTTTCGCATCAAAAAAATAATCCGAGATAAAATTTGATGATAACTTGTCACAGCTATGTTTCTCCTTTCCGCAATAACTAGAAGTCTCCTGTGAAAAGGTTAGTACCCCTCATAGATGGCCCTAGAGTAGATTCTTAACTGTTGCGCAGAGGAGGAAGTCATGACAAATTCCCATTAGATGGTAATAGAAAGATGTACTTAGCACTTATGGTTAATTATCAGTCTTTTCAAAATTTTCCACATCTTTACACTGTCGCACTTGTTATAATTATCGATTTGATTATCGTAGAATTTCGTTTTTTCTTCTCTAATTACATACAAACATTTATTCCTAAGAGTTTTATATACCTCCCAATCATCATTTGATTTTGTGAATATACATTTTTTGTATTGTTTGTCTCTCAAATTTTGAGCTGCCTTCAAATTTTTGTGATTGACGCTATTTCATCTCGGATAATGTTTCGGGCGCGCGATTATTGTATAAGGTTGTCTACCTTCAGCTATGATACGTTAATCAATGGTCCTACTTAGAGAAAGCATCACTTTTTAAGTTAAAGTAACATAAGTAACACAACGCTATGTCAGAAACTGGTAGCCAAAAAAAAGACCCTGTTCTAGAAAAAATTGTATAGACCGATTTTACAACGGACTGATCAAAGATGGAAAAATCATTTTTTCGCGTATATTCAAGAAACTATCAAGTATTTTTTTATACAGTAGGCAGAAGCCTGAAGACCGCGGCTGCTATAAGGAGCTTACGGACATTTTGTTGATCTAATTTTTGGACTGGACAAAGTTAGTAGATCTGGGAAAGGGAGATGGTCTACAATCTTGACACTTTAGGGACAAAGGATAAGTCGTACTGGAAAGTTCTTTATGTACGAACTTCGGCACGGTTAGGATGACAGGTCGTACCAGGTGGAGCAAAGCCCTTTGATATAGAGTTAAAAGAGAGCCGGCTCGCCGACGACCCGTTAGTGCGAAAGGATTCCGAAGCAGTCACGGACAGCCATGCTCTGTACTCAAGGCGGCAGCACCCCAAACATGTGAGCAGTACTCGACGCATGATCTGATATGGGCCTTGTACAGAGTGGAAAAAGGTACTTCTTAGCCCTGAACAGATAGCCTAGCTTTTTTCCAGCACTTGCGGTGATTGATTGGATGTGTTAATAGGAACGTTGTGAATCGAATTTATGCACCTCTGCATCACCTAACTAAATAAACCGTTTAACTGGGATCTCATATTGCCAATTTGCTTAGCGGCTACGTCGTTAGTCAGCTCGTAAAATGACCATTAACATAAAAAAAATAAGTGGCAATATTATTTCTAGTTATTTTTTCCTGGACGATAAATACCGCAAATGATTTAAGTTGTGGATATTATTTGATATTTTCTGTTGTACGTTTTTGATGAAAATAAATTTGAAAATTGGAGAGAAAGAGAAAACTATTTTTTGTCAAATATGATGATCAATTTCATTCAAGGATTTAATAATGTGTATTTCTGTTGCGAAATCCATCTATACAATGTTTTTCTGTAATTCTACTTATCGTGGTCTGTTTCAAAAAAAAACTTCTACTACTAACAAAATATTCTTGATCGTTTTCCTTTTTTAAAGATGTCCTATTCGTGCAGCGCATCAACAGATACAGCAAAGTCCCTTCTATTGCAACCCAAACCGCTACTCGACGTCATTTTACTTGCGATTTCATCGTGAAGGTAATTCAAGATCTTCATTTCACTACCTTGTGGAGGTGCTCTTCTTTGAGCCTCTTTTACGTCCTGCAGAGCCCCTTCCAGAAGATCCAGGTCTAACCTGGCCTTAGCGCGTGCGTAGTACGCCTCATATGACTCAGGCTTTAGGTCAATCACTCTGTTTGCTAGGTCTATGGCCTCTTGTGTTTCCTGTAACCACGGTAATGAAATTAGTCATCAGAGATGTGGGATTAATTGAAAGTTTCAGGGTTTATTCAATGTATCTTGATTTCGACAAAAACTAGCATTTTTAGCTATGGTAAATTCTACACACCTAGTCATAACACATACATTTCTCCGTAAATTTGTACTCGACTAAGATAAATATTTTCAATACACGCGTCAAACGTTATAAAGATAAAGAAAAAAACTGCTGCTGCTGCTGGCGAGGTTAACCCACAGTAACTGGACAGAGAAGACGTTTCTAGATCGCAACGTTGTCAAATGGATGGGGACTGTGACTAATTGCTTGAAATATATGCACTAAACATATTTTTCTTGATTTTAGTATATGTATTCGCTCCCAAGATTTACCCGTACATTTGCCTTTAAAAATTACAATGATAACCAGTTCAAAAAACATTCGGAGCTTGCAGCAGCCGACGATGACTCGCTGCAGAGATGCTGGGCAGATGTGGAAAGGGACAACGTTGCCACATGGTCAGTAACTACCAGTAGGGCAGGGAAAGAATATCTATGGCCTAACTGTATGGGCCCGTTTGACTGACTTGATACGTTTAATTTCTCTGCTCTTCATGACCGTAGCTCAATATTTTCTCAGATGATTTAAACTGCGCCGAACTTAATCCTTTATGAACTGATGACGCAGTTGCATAGGAAGTGAAAAGTCAACCCAGTTGATGTCATTTTTGCATTCTTTATTTTTCTGGAATATCTTATATGTCTATTTTATTTATGCTTTTTATTTGTGCTCTTGTTTAATTTATTACTCTTTGATATACGTGTATAACTATTTATTGTTAGTACGACAAACAGTTAATGCGTTCTTTATTGTTAATTGGGTACAAACTTGTCGGAATAATAATAATAATAATAATATATAATATAATTATCTATTCAAATCTTCCTTATACATGTTGCAGGGCTAATCTACTCGACGCTATTTTTCTGCTGTTATTTATTACGAAAATAATGAGAAGTGACTTTTCTGTTAGGAAAGAAGTTCTTCAAAAATTAATAGAACCACGAACGTGGCAAGATTTCTGGAAATACAATTTCTAGATGGTAGTACTTTTACAGTTTTCTTTCTTTCAGAAGCAACAAGACATATGAGGTCCTTATTTTTTATAAAAATAATTTTATTAGAGAAATTTATGATAATTTTAAATTACTTTTTTTAATTTTTTTAAAAATAAGGATATTTTTTATTAAAAATAATTTTTATTAGGGAAATTTCTGATAATTTTAAATTTCTTTTTTTAAATTTTTTATGTCCTTATTTTTTATTAAAAATAATTTTATTAGAGAAATTTCTGATAATTTTAAATTTCTTCTTTTAAATTTTTAACGTCCTTATTTTTTATTAAAATAATTTTTTATATAAATTTATGATAATAAATAATTTTAAATTACTTATTTAAATTTTTTACGTACTACTTACATTTAGTTTCCTTTTGCACCTGGAGAAGTTGAGCAGGAAATTGATCTTGAGCTGATGAAAGGCTTTGTTGTGTTCTCCTTGGTCTTCTGTGGGGAATTTTTTCAGAGCGTACTGGTACCGATGTGCGGCCTCCCTTAACCTGCTTTTACGGTACAACACGTTACCGTCTTCCAAAAGCTTGTTAAGCAGAATTAACCTGCAACCAGAAAGAAACACATAAAAGTATAAAAAAGTGGTGGTACGTTTTCCGCAGAAACGTAATTTTGATATTTTCAATTACTCGACTAGATTTCGGCTTACATGATATCTGGTTTTCCGTTCGCCACAGCCCAGGTGGCAGGTCCCAACTTGGCGCCTTTCTTCAAGAAACACCTGACTACATTCGCGTTTCTGCAACCCACAGCTCTGTCCAAGGGTCTCACACCATTCGCGTCGACGTGCTCCACAGCCGCTCCGGTGTCCATCAAAAATTGTACCAAAGGTTGGCTACCCTGAAAAAAACAAATTACACAATCAATACCTCACTATTTTAGCCATAATATCCACGTATCCTGGATACGCAATTCAATTGAAATAACGATGAGTTGAATTTGAATTTAATTATCTTCTTAAATGGGAGTTCCTTGAGCCCCAGAAACTCCTGAGGGATATTGTTATATTCCTTAGCAATTTGGTAGCTGAAACTCCTTTCATAAGTGGTGGTTTTATGGTTAGGAGGAGAGATGAGGAGTTTGGATCTAATATTTATATCGTGAACATCTGTTCGAAATTTATTTTTTTTATAAAAGGTAGGTAGGTCTCTTTTGTGTATTAATTTTATTGAATAAGGTGATCGAAGAAATTTTGAATCTGTTTCTCATGTCGATCCATTCAGTTTCTAAAAATGTTTCCGAAATATGATCATATTTTCTTATGCCATGAATAAACCTAACACAAGAATTTTGAACAATCTTGGCATTGCAGTTTTAAGTGTTTTATTATGAATAAATGTAGACGTTTCCATGGATGAAATATGTATTTAAGTTGTTAATATTAACGTCAATAATCAACAAAAAATGACTATTTCCATTATACGTGTAGACCAGCTTCCTTTAGATGTCAACTCTCGGATTATATTGCCGCAGGATATAGGATATGTTTTTCAGTCATTGAAGGTTACGATATCCCAGGAAAAATTATGCGGGAGGTTCATGTTCAAGAATAGATGATTTCCCTTAAAAGAAAAATTGAGTCCCTTTTTATTACTTACAAGGAGATAGAAATTATACAGCGAAAGGAAAATCATGGTCTTGGAGAAACGTTAAATGATGGTTATAATAGCTAAGTTCAGTTTCATACCTCAGAAACAAGACATTGATGATTAAAATAAGGGGAAAAGTGCGTAACAGGGAATCTAGAATCTAAATTTGGTGAAGAGTAGCGTTATCTTTCACCTGAAATGCAGCCAGGTCTAGAGGCGTCCTCCCGGACTTGTCAGAATGGTTAACATCAGCCCCTCTCTCTATCAAACATTGAGCTGCCTGAAGTTTGCCTCTGACACATGCCCAGCAGAGCGGTGTAAGGCCCTCTCGATCTTCACGATTTATATCAGCACCTGCGAAAAAGTGAAATAAAAGAATACAGAAAATGAAATAGGTGACTTTTTAATGATATTCAGCGTGTTATTCAAGTACGTGGCCAAACTTCAGGAGGTTATTCTTTGAGTAAATGTATATAAGGATAGGTCCAGAAATGCTTCATTTTCAAGTTGCAGGGTGTCACATTTAAAAAAAAAATCGGGTTTTCCTAAATATCTTAATAAACATTCAGCCGATTTTGTTCAAATTTAGCAAAGGTATTACGGGCAGAAATGGGCAAATTTTAGCCACAATAAATTAAGTCCAAACACCATAACCAATAAGTCTGACAACAAATTTGTGCGCCACAGATTTTTAATTTTTTGTTTGTTTGGATTGATCAACTTTTTTGTCTCCTGAATTTCTTTCACATCCCGCTTCGTTTGCTAGATAAAAAATAAAAAGCACTTTATTGCATATTTTTGATAATTAAGTTACACGAAAGGTATTCTTTTGAAGCTTTTGCTCAGATTATACCTGCTTTCGATTAAATAAATTAACATACAATATTTACATGACCTTATTGGTAACGCTGGAAACTAAAACAAAAATCGAACCGGAAAATCATCTTTTTAAAACTACTCATGAACTTTTATTTCAATGAAAACCTTTAACAGTTAATAACTCGAGACATAATAGTGGCTGGAAATGTCCTCCTTCAACCTCAAGACAAGCATTAGCTCGTCTTAACATTGATTGCCGAATTCGTTGGAATATTCCCGGCGTATGCCTTATGTAATCACATGGATCTTGTATCCATTGGGTCAATTCTTCTTCAGTGTTGACTGCAGTTTGGTAAACGAGGAACTTTAAATGATCACTGTTGACTTGTGTGCCCCTCCAAAAGTTGCATAGAAAAATTGGCGAGCTACTATAACTCACATTATCAACCTCTGTTTCAAATCCTCAGTAATGCCTCGCCAATTTAAAGAAAGCATAGTGACACCAATATTTAAATCTGGAAGTAAAGACAATATGTTCAATTATAGACTTATTTCAGTTATCAATGTATTTGGGAAGATTTTTGAGCAGTGTTTGAATAACAGACTTTGTTCTTTTCTCGAGAAATATGACATAATATCGAACTGTCAATTTGGGTTCCGCAAAAATTGCAATACAGAGCAAACTCTACAAGAACTTACAGGACAAGTGCTTGAAAATTTTCAAGATGGAAATAAGACCGTTGCAGTTTTCCTAGATCTTCAAAAGGCTTTCGATTCAGTATCTCATAAAATTTTATTAAAGAAACTAGAAAGTGTTGGAGTGCGTAGCGGAGTTCTGAACTTATTTGAGAACTATTTGGCTGATCGATTACAGCAAGTTAAGGTAGGGTCAGATTTAAGTAACATTCAAAAGATCAAAATAGGTGTGCCTCAGGGGACGGTTTTGGGACCAACACTGTTCCTCATATACATAAATGAACTACTTCGATGTAATTTCAACTGTAAGATGATATCATATGCAGACGATACTGTTTTAGTTTGCACTGGTCATTCATGGAATGACGCAATACGGAATGCCGAGTTGTCATTAAATAAAGTCAAATGCTGGTTGGATAACAATTTACTTAAACTTAATATCTCTAAAACTAAGTATGTAACGTTTTCTCCAACCAAAACAGGCATGCCATTACACCTCCGAACATTAATTATAAATGATAGTGCTGACACTGTCGAAAGAGTTGAAGTTATTAGATACTTAGGAATCTTTGTTGACAGTAATTTAAAATGGCATGCCGAGCTTTTGGCATCGAAATTAACGAGAATTATTCATAAGTTTTTCATTCTTAGGAATATTTTAAGCAGAAAGAGTCTCTATCAATATATAACTCGTTTGTGGGGTCTCTACTAACTTACGGGATAAGTATTTGGGGAGCCGCATACACTAGTACTTTAAAAATACTACAAACCACGCAAAATTATATTGTCAGGACTATTTTTCGTATCCCATGTAGGCCAAGTTGCAGATTCGTTTACATTGAAAATGATCTTTTGAATGTTAGAGGTTTATATATTTTTGCTGCTCTAAAATTTGTTCACTCCCGAAACAATGTTCCAACCAGCCACGCTTATGAAACAAGAACTAAAATAAATATAAGGTTACAGCTATACCAGAGTGAATAAATCTGTTTGCCAAAAATGCATAAAGTTTGATGGTATTAGGTTGTACAATAAATTACCGCTAGAATATAAAATCCTCTCGAAGTATAGTTTAAAAAAAAGAATTAGGAAGTTCATCTTAAATAACTTTGACATGCTTGCATCGACGGTAGCTTGACTCAACTCAGTAATTTCGTTTCTATCTAATGTTTTTTTTTATTTCTTTTTTATATACATTTGCTCATAATATACCTTATGACCATTAGCCATGCATAGAATTTGTATATTGTATGACACACACAAGCTTATAGCGCTTAGGTGTCTATTATTTTGTAGTAAATTCTTTTGTAGTAAATTGTAATACTCTTGTTTCTCTGCTTAACCTTTACGCAAAATTTTTATTGTTTAAACAATATAGTTTGACCTTACTCGAAATATCCCTCTATTATCATATTTTATGTACTCTATATTTATACTTCCGAGTGTTTTTAGTATGCTTCTGTACTATTGTTATGAATTTTAGATTTGTTTATGCAGACACGTAATTTAGGATGTGTGACGACAAGATCCCCTTTACGAAAGTATACAGAATTTTCACAATTCATATACCGTTACTTGCTGGTTCTAGATCTGATGCTAGTATCTTTGCTCAGATTTCTGTTGCAATCTTGGTTATTCAGGGTAGCAAGAGCATACAAGCTCATGTATTTTTGATGCTTTTTTTATTTAAATTGTACTGAAGGTTGTTTTTAATTTGTAAGTTATATTGGTTTTTGAATTTTGAATAAACTTTGAACTTTGAACTATGCTGAAGTGAGGTGGAGCCCCATCGTGCATAAATCATATTACTCCTCTTAATAAGTTTATCAAGATATTTAAGAAAAAAACGATTTAAAAAAAAAAGTTTGACACTCTGTGTATCTTGGACCTATGTTTATATAAACTTTTCATCTTAAAATTACTCAATCACCTGGAAGTTTGGCCACTTACTTAAATAACACTCTGTATATCTGTCAGTATATCGGCATATTTTCACGTGCTAAATATGCCCTTACACTTTCCTGACTGTTTAGTTGACAATTAGCACCCTGTACATGAAAATTTTGTTTTACAATCTACCAACCTCTGTCCAGGAGTAGTTCGATAATCCCGAGATGCCCTTCAGCAGCAGCGATCATCAGCGGAGTCCTCCCAACAGAGTCGCATTGCTCTATAGCAGCGTAGTTTTGAATCAGCCTTTCGGCAACTGCCCAATGGCCTTCTTTAACAGCGAGGAGTAGTGGAGCCAGTTCCTTACGGTTCGTCACCGAGATGTTGGCACCCCTGTTCAAGAGAGCCGTGCAGACGGAGAGGCAGCCGTTGGCCGAAGCTACAGTTAGAGCTGTTTCACCTGAAAAAACCCACTTTGATTTTAACCAGTAATTGAAACTTGAAATCAAAAACGTAAACGGTTTTTATAAATTTAAAAAGACCATAAAATGTCTCGATTCAGAAAGTACAAATTTTATCTACTGTGGGTTCTTCATGAATCTTTCTTGTTATATTTTTTTGTATCTACTGCCCTGGACATATTGCCGTTGTTTTCATAAATTACCCTGTATATTTGTAGGCGCACGAGATTTCTTATGGCGGAATACGTCAATCAATGCCACAGGTGATGAAAAATGAAAATATCACGAAGTGCTTACCAGTGATGGTATCCGGTAGATCAGCATCAACTTCTGCCATATCAAGTAGATATTCCACCACGTCTACATGTCCATGTCCAGCAGCTGCTACTAAAGCTTGTTGAGCTGCCTCCGCTAAGCCTACGTCACTTTCCGTCGTTTTCTCGGTGGGCCAATCACAGGCTAACAAATACCTGAAACAAAAAGATTTTATATTTTGCGTGTGTCATCTAGAGGCTGGGGAATTTAATAATGGATCGTTTCACGATGGAGTCACGCATGAGAATTGTGTCAACCTACTGAATAGGTATACTCACATTTTCAGTCAACAGTTATGGTCATTTAACTTACCCTACGACATTGAGTCTTCCGTCTCTAGCAGCATGCACCAAAGGGCACCGCCCAGCAGTGTCTGCTCTCCCTGGTGAGGCACCAGCAGCTACAAGTTGTCTGACCACGTCACAATGGCCATTCGCAGAGGCTAAAGACAAGGCGGTACGACCTTGACTGTTGGCCAATTCTACGTCTGCGCCGAATTCCAAAAGGAGCGATACCATTGGTACGATGCCTAGAAATAAAAGTCATTTGAAATTCGGGCAAAGTAAGTAAGAATTCAGTCATTTGCAATACTTGAAAGCAACACTTGTAGAGCTCGTCAAAAGAAGTTGTTATACCAAAAATCACCCGTATAAAAGTTGCATAATAAGAATGTAAGGTCACATTATTGAAAATTATTTAAAATAATCTTTAACAAGTTAAATCGATACCGTTTTTACAAACATTGTTCAACGTTGTCCCCATTTGTTCGATTAATGCAAAATCTTGCTCGGCGCATTCACAAGTTCGAAAATAGAATCCTGGTGTTCACGAATTAAATTAATTAAAAGACTGATATACAACTGGTCCAACCAAACACTCGTACTGAAAACCATACAATAACACAAAAACTTTGCCCAACTTAGATAAACGATAAGAGTAGTAAACAAAAAACGCTAAGAGTTTACACCGCAATGGTCGAGAATATCAAAAAATCTACACAGATTTTAACATAACATTCATATTTTTTTAAACTTTTAATCTATTACTATTTCTTTTATTATGCAACTTTTATATTTAGATGATTTTTGGTATATCACCTCCTTTTGATGAGTCCGACAAACAGTAAAAATAAATGACTCACTTTGAAAACACGTATAACACACAATTAAATAGAATAGAATTAATGCTGTGTGAGCCTGTAAATAGGATATAAAATGTAAAAAAAATCGAAGATATGAACAACTAATACATAGCATGAAACACTTGGGATACAGAAGGTTCCTAAGTTTACTTTTAAACAAAGATAAGCTAGTAATCTTCTGCTTAATATATAATGGAACTTTATTATACAGGGTGGCCCATAAGTCCTTTGAGCTGGAAAAAAAGGAATAAAACCAAACTAGTTACATTATGAAGAATTATTATATTTTGTTATCATCTTTATTGAATGGGAATTATGTTTTAAAAATCACATCGTCTAAATGCAATCCATTACGATCACGGCACTCATATAAACGACGTCTAAAATTGTCGATGACTGCGCGGCAAGTCAACACTGTAATGCTTGCCATTTCTCTTCGGATATTTTCTTTCATGACATCAACTGATCGCGGAGTGGTGTCGTACACTTTACTCTTGAGTTAGCCCCATAAAAAGAAGTCCATTGGGGTCAAATCTGGACTACGTGGTGGCCAGGAAATGTCTCCTCTTCGAGAAATTACTTTGCTGGGAAAAAGTTGACAGACGACGGGCATAGAAGTGTTGGAGGTGTGGTCAGTTGCTCCGTTCTGTTGAAACCAGGTTATAGCATGGAAAATTCTGCAACGCTGGTGTCAAAAACTCTTCTATCATTGCTACATACCGCTCCGAAGTAACAGTTAATGCGCGACCTCTGTCGTCCTCAAAAAAATAAGGGCCTACGATGCCATGCGCTGACATAGTAGCCCAAACTGTAACTTTAGGGCTGTGTAAGGGCTTCTGATGCTTACGCCCTGGATTTTCGGGGCCCCAATAACGGCAATTTTGTTTATTTACATGCTCGTTTAAATGGAAGTGAGCCTCGTCCGAGAACAACACATTATTGAGCGAAGAAAATCGATTCAAAATTTCATTCGCAAAGTTTAGTCTCTGAATAGCGTCATTATCTTTTAATTCCTGCACTAACTGAATTTTGTAAGCGTGCAGACGTAAATCTTTCCTTAAAATCAGCTGTAAAGATGTTCTGGGTACGTTTAATGCACTGGAACGCTTACGAGTAGACTGGGTAGGATTTTGACGAACAGACTGTGCCACAATGTTGATGTTTTCTTCAATACGAGTTATCCTTGGTCGACCCCACCGCTGTTTATCTAACGTCGAACCAGTCTCTTCGAACTTAGCAACCCAGTTCTTAATCGTTTGAGCTGTTGGACACTTTGTGAAATTGTGTAAATTGTGGTATTCTCGATATTCACGCCGCGCAATGGTTGCCGAATCATTATTTTGATAAAACGCGCGCACACAAAAAGCACGATCCGCTCCAGTGAAACACTCCATGGCGACTGAATTCCCAGACACTGAAGATACTGCCCCCACCTCGCCCGCGCCGCTCACGCTCACCCGTTAAATTTTATTCAAATTTGAAATTTCAAAGGACTTATGGACCACCCTGTACATGGCACTATATATATATACATCGGACTCTTTTTATAAGCATTGAGATTGAGATCTTTAATATGAATATGGTTGTAATGTCTAGTATGGTAAGAGCCTAACCGTACTATACGCGTGTCGCTACCATAAAGAAGTAGACACATTTATAGAGACACTATGAAGTCTGTCGTGAAGTATACATCCAAAATAACAGATATCGTGCTCGCTTGTTGTTTTGGAGAGCCTTGGCGTCTTGCCGCACTGGAATGCCTATCCCAGGCGATCCTAGAATTTGCCGGGCTTGCGCGGTGACATTTTAACGCAGCAATGACGGCTTCGTTGAGCCTCGGCCAGTTCGAGGTGTTGTTGAAATACGAAAGACTTTGTATCGTTCGAAAACCGCGAACTTACCTTCGTTAGCATACATGCAAAGTACAGGCGCGTTCCCGAGGAAATCCGTGATATGATCAGGAGATGCTCCGGCTAACAGAAGTAGCCTAGAAACCTTGACGTTAGGACTGTACATGTTTCTGAGGCAGCAAACGGCCGCTGAGACGTTTTCTGAGCTCTCTGCTACCCAGTGCGCTTGCAAATCTCTGGAACTGGTGTGCGAAAATGTGATATTTCTGTACACGTGAGTCTTCAGGATGTGATGGCCTAGCTCCAGAGTTTTTTCCGGGTCCAATGGAGCTTGAACCCGCGATAATCTGCAATAAGGGATAGCAAACTATGTAATTGCAACTAAAAATTATAAACTACGCGTCAAAATTAGAGCCTCAAAGAGTTTAAAACTTGATTATTCAGACGACGATTGCGTTGCTTTGTCCAGAGATGGGCATTTGAGTTGCTTTTGTTGATTCACCTAGATGGATGTAATGCTTAACTTTCGTTTTAAATATTTTTAATCTGTTTTTAATTTGTTCTTGTCATACAGCTGTGTGTAGTTTATATAATTTTGACCATGTATCCAGCTTTCACCATGTTACTGGGTGTTTGTCTCATCCTTAACGTAAATAACATTTAGCAACATCCTCACATACTACTGTAAGTTGATTCAATTTAAATTCATTTTACACTTTTGTTGCTACTGTTATCAATTGTAATTGCAGCTCCTGATGATGATGGCAAAGTCCATTGAAAGCTAGAGAGAATTAAAAAAGTATAAAGAGTCCTTCTTGCTTAAATTTTGTCGAAGTACCCAACAAAAGGCGGAAGCTTTAATTTTCACCTATATATATATATATATATATATATATATGATAAAACTACATCACTCTGTATTTCGGTAAGGAAGCATTTCTGGACCCATATTTATGAGAACATTTTTTTGTTATTGTTACAAATATCGGCGGCACGTCTTTCTGAGCCAGCTTGTACGAACAACCACGATATTTCCTATGGTCGTTGATTTCATTTAAAAACATATCTTCTTGACAAAGTTTGATCACATTGCCTGTTTAGTGATTTAAAAAGTAGTGACTTTCTTACCTGAAAGTGATACCAGCATGTCCCGATCGGAGATCGCACAAGAATTTCGTAGCCTCGTTTTCGTCTCTGCGTATCAACCATTCCCTGAACGAAGGGTGGAAGAACATGTACGTGTTGTCTAATCGCTTCACCAGGAAGCCGGAGAGGAGTTTGAATCGCTGCAGAAACTCCGGCCAAGGAAGGAAGTTGTCCACCATCATGGAGTTGACGGAATAATAGATCTCGAGCAGAGTTAGAGGGTACAACGCTGCTAGGCAAACGCTGAGGATGTTGCAGACCTTTTCGAACGAACGGATCGTTGGGAACCTGCACGAAATTGTAGGAATCCAATGTACTTTTAATGGAAAAAATCCGAAGCTAAATTGAAAAAATAGCGTCAAGTATGTACGCAACGCCATTATTAGTACTTGGAGGAATATGTTCAGCACAAACTAGATCATCTGAGAAAAAAATCAAACAGGTTAACAATTAGCCCATAGACATCTTTTACCTGCTCTACCGGTAGTCCATCTTCCCGATACCTAACTCGAGCAGACGTGGCACCATTTCCAGCAGAACATTTTTTATACATAATTTTATTGGCAGCAGTATATTTATACACGAACCCCATTAATGTTACGCACCTGCAAGTACATATTTGACACATCATAGGTTTTCCCTTAGAACCTCTCGAGTTACTATATTAATGTGGTTTAGCACCGATACTTAGAGCCTGGACGAGACTAGCGTTATCGTTATCAAATGGGTGGGGACTATGGAGTACGCACTAATTGCATGGGCCTGTTTGGCTGACTTAATCTATTAATTTTTTTGTTATAAATGTTTGCAGCTAGTTCAGCGGGACTAATTTGTGCAGAACATAACGGTTTATGAACTGATGGCAACGTAACGTGGGAATTTGTATTTATTTCATTTCACTTGAATGTTATTGATCAACATTTCAATAAACTAAAAACCTCCGAATTATCTCCATACAAAATTTCCCACAGTGTTAACTCATTTGGACTGTATTTAAAAAGTGGATTCAGGGACAAGAGTATCGAATTTTCCACTTACCTAAGATTAAAATGCAACAGGTATATTTCCGCTAAAGACACAGGTAAGACCTTGAATCCTGAGGATTTCACGACCAACTGTCCTCTTTCCAAGAGGTCCAAGGTTAACTTGGCGAAAAGGAACGACCCTTGACTAGTAGACACTAAATGCTGCGAAAATTTGTGTTGGGATACACTGGAACTTTCACTTTTACCATTGGTAGAAGAGACTGTTATGTTATTCTGTATACTCGGACTGTTTTGCAACCTGAAAAGGAAAGAAAAGTAATTCAGAAAATATCAGAAACCTGATGAATTTGAGAAATGTTTCTTTTTTCATTTTGAGATCGTAGCTTGAAAAACCATACAAGTTACTGCTACCTTGCAAGCCAAATGAAGTTAATTTATCAATTAAAGAGTTAAATGTAAATCTAGAAATGATTGCAAACTATTCCAAAAATTATTGTTTGAAACTGAATCCCACAAAAACTAAAGCTTGCTGTATTGGTTCTAGGTTAAATATTTCAAAATTTAAAGGATTGATGAGTACAGCCATTGTTTTAGGTGATACATCTGTTGAAATTGTAGTAGTAGTAAGCCATGAAATTTTTACAAGTTTTCCAACGGCATGTAAATACGCCCCAAAGAACGCCGGTTTGTTTCTAATTTTGAGATCCCCATGCATAGAATGCTTAATCTTGGACCCTGTATTGTAAGATATTCCAAAACATAAAAGACTGTGAAACTACCAGAGTGATTATTATCTCATTACGGACACCGTTTTTCTGTGATTTTTTGAGTTCCTTCAGTATATTTTGATTTTTATATAAAGCATCTTATACGAATTTGCCAATTGAGAATAAGTAGTTAAAAGAATTATTTTTACAGTTTCTAGCTGAAAGAATACTCACCTAAAGCTAACATACTGCAAAATATCTTTCTGTATATTCTCGCTCTGTACATTATCCAATGATATTCTCGTGTAAGGCAGCTGTTTCGTTAATTCTAAAAGTTGAGTCCTGACAGTCGCCATAACTTTGAGCCACGACGGAAAACTGGGGGTATGCTTAGCTAGGAATGATGTTATGGTGTCTCCATGATCTGGCCTGAAAACGATAAAATAAACTTGATAATAATGAAAATAACATATTTATTTTTAACTTTGAGATGAATCATCTTAATAATTAGATTTCTACCCCATCCAAATTCACGATAGAGTGGATGTAAACACAGTATGTGCTGCTCGAAAGCTGTCGAATTGGACAGGGTAGTATTTATAACCGAAATAATTTTTATAATTATGAATATGCTCAATACCACGGCATCACATTAAAAGGAACGCTGAAGTTTTTTTTTACGAAACGTCGGTACCTTTAAGCCTCGACGCCAAGATCGTGCTGGCGAGTTATCAAACAGCACGAAACAGCTGTCCATGGTTGGCGAACTATGGTCGAGCGGACGCAAGCTACATTTTTAGTCTTTCTTTAGACTCACATCCAACTAGCAACAAGAAATTCATGTAAATAAGCGTCTTAGAAAACTCTTATTTTTGATGCTATCCTTCTCTGAGACACAAAATAATTACCTATGGTATTCGGCCTCGCAGAGTGCGTCCACCAATATCACACAGTTAACATTATCTATTTTCCCTACCCTCCTTAGGGTAGACAACGGTTCCAGAATTCCTCTTGCCAAAGCAACGTCTGGATTCGCTATACATTCCTTCAGAGACAGGATGTTCTGCAAATGGTGCTCACTCAACAGGTGCTCTCTGAAAAATTAAAAGTAGTAATGAAATGAACGTTTTTAATATCGTCTTTTTTTGTTTTCGCAACTTCTTCAAGTTGAATTGGACCTCTTCTGGCGTCATGTTGATAATAATAATCGTCTAATAATAATTTTTCCACTTGACCCGAATACAAAAAAAAGAAAGTATGACACTGAACAAAATTATGTGAGTGCATTCAAATTTGAAACTAAATCTACACACACAAAAGATATACAAGGTGGCGCATCGAAAACGAAACAGACCACCCCCAAAATCTTACTAATACCGAGCATTTTGCCTAATTTTGAAGACGGTCAGCTCGCTACAATCGGTTGACGTTTGTCTACTGTTTGTTCGTTTTCTCGAGTTCATTTTCCAACATTTTGAACTCGCAATCGTTTTAATCGTACGAGATTTCGAAAAAAGATGTATACTATACAGAAGCTTTTAAAAAAAAAGGTCCACGAAATTATATTTCTTCGTAAAAAACTGGATTACGTAACCTACTTATTTGACAAAGTCATGCAGTCATCAATAATGCAGCCATTCAGCACAAGCTACATACTAACTAGTCTAAGACAGTTTTAAACATAATACATATTTATAAAAATATTTATTTTTATAAACTTCAGGGCCCATCTGTGACCGTGTAAACATTTCAGCACTAAATATGTATGCACAAGAGTATGAAAAAATCTCGAAAAAAATTGTTTTCTTCGCAGCAAAACGTGATGGACACATCCGCTTTGTTTTAATAACGTATGTTTTTCGAATATCGTAGCGAATCTGTTCAGTTACACGCAAATACGAAATGTAAACGTAGCCCTTCGTTTTCCGCATTAAAACAACAATAATCTTTCGGAATGGTTTGTGATTTATGTCGGCCAGGTGAACTCGTGTATTTTCCTATAAAATGCCCTTGGAACGAACCCTGTATATTGCTCAGTAAACTAGTAGCGATGGCCGGAAGACAGGTGTTTTGGGATAAGCAATTAGAATGTCTCAAAGACTACTTGACCAATCGACACCAATATTGTTGTGGTTACTTAGAAGTATGAATCCTAGGGATTTGAAGAATTTCAAGTGGCTGTGTGAAATTGTCGTCGCATTAGCAGCAAGTGCCAAAACCTGCATTTTGCCTCGGTTGTCGGCCATAACTTTTTCACTGTCAGTCGGATTTTTTTACATGTGACTTCATTCTGTAGGTCTCATAAATACCTAAGAATCTTATTTGAAGAGTTTTTTGGTTCCTGCCGACTAAATCCCAAAAAAACACATTTTCTCAGTCTTTGAATAGAAAGCTTTCCCACAAAAATCGGTGTACCCATTTAGGACGTTCATGTTTTAAATACGCCCTTGAACAACTTGCATTAATAAAACCAGACTTTACAATTATTTCGTGGAAATTTGCTGATATGATTAAACTATATTCACAAGAATGTGATCTAAATCAATACCGAAATCGAGACACTAACCTATACGCGATCAGTTGAGGCGCCTGGCATAACTGCGCCGCCAAGGAATGCACGAAATCCGGCACCAAACAGGTGTTGTTGTTGTCAGCCTGACAAAAATGATAGGCCACCACGCTACCGGCTAGCCTCCGGATCTTCTCGGTGACGACGTCCATATGGTAGTGCGGACTCCTCGACCTCTCTGGAGAGTGCACCTGCTGGTAGATCGGGGCGTCCTTTCTTCTACCGAAGCAACTGTATTCGACTAATTGCAGCACCAAGGCAGTCTTGCCTGTGCCTGGGTTGCCCGTGAGCAGAACGCCTGGGCTGGAAGAAGCTGAAACAGAAAAAAGTGGGAGATCAATCTACAACGAAAATCACCGCCGATGGAATTAGGATCTACGACTGGCACTGCCCTGGGTAGAATTCGAGTCCAACACGTAACGTTTTTTTCTTAACTTGGATTATTAGATTCAGAAGAAAGAATATCGTTTGTGGAAAATCTGTGAGCAAAATTTGAGCTTACCAACAATGTCTTCGATTTCCTTGATCAACCAATGCCTTCCAATAAAAAGAGGGTCAGGTTCTTGAAGTGGCACTTCGAAAAATAATGGTTTCAGCGTAAGTTGCTGCGTCCTGTACTGTCCGAACCTAATTTTTGGATCGACAGGACTTTTTACTGTTCCGCTGGTCCTTGCTGATCTCCTGGCGCAGGTTCTTCGGTTTTTGAACACGCCCAGGTCTTCTACTTGACCAGGTTGAGTAGCTGAAAACAAAAAAGCAGACTTTCAATCTACGTAGAGGAATTTTTAATAACTAAAATAGGTTTTACAAATCTTCGTTCAAGGATGAAGGGTTTTCCTCATCGTTGTAATAACGCCCTAATATTAGTTATGGCGATTTCTCCTATTAGTAGTAAAGAAATATTTTTTCACATTCTTATGCCATAAAGATGAAAAAAGTGAAAACTATCAGAATATACATTTTGGAGGAAAATATCGATATTCAGGGGGAATAAAAATTAAGGAAAGTACCCCATTAGACGGAACCTTTCTATCGGATTCTACTTGAAGAAGAACAAAAAGAAAATATCAGTAGGAATCGAACCTAGACTTTCTTGCTTCTATACGCGCTTCTCGAAATAACAATAATGATATTTATTCACTATGGCTTTAAAGGATCAGTATTACAAATTTTACAAAATTATTTAGTAAATAGAAGTCAAAAAACTAAAGTTGGAAATATGTCGTGTTTAAAATATATAGTAGGGGTGCCACAGGGGAGTAAATAAGGCCGTTACTATTTTATTATTTATATAAATGATATATCTGACATTTTAGAACAGTATAAAGAGTCCTCCTTACTTCGACAAAATTTGAACAAAGAGGACTCTTTATACTTTTTTAATTCTCTCTAGCTTTCAATGGACTTTGCCATCATCATCATCAGGAGCTGCAATTACAATGATAACAGTAGCAACAAAAGTGTAAAATGAATTTAAATTGACTCAACTTACAGTAGTATGTGAGGATGTTGCTAATTGTTGTTTACGTATAGGATGAGGGAAACGTCCAGTAACATGGTGAGAGCTGGATACATGGTACAATGGTCAAAATTATATAAAATATGACAAGAACAAGTTAAAAACAGATTAAAAATTATTTAAAAAACATTAGAGCATTACATCGTGAAGCCACTTGATGATTGCACAAAATGGAATAATGAGTGAGATGAACAGGGTTGCCAACACTTCGGTAATCAAATCTACTAAATCACACTGCCAGATCTACCAGAAATCTACTAGATGAAAATCATGAATTTCATAAATCTACCAGAAAATCTACTAGTTATAGCTAACCCTCATTTTGCAGTTAATTACGTTTTAGGTTTTAAAGGCGTGTGCGCATATTATGTATTTTTAGTTTTTACTCTAATTTAGATTTTTGGACATATATTATTTCAAATTAGTAATACTATATTGTGAAAATATATTTTGTAAATATTAAAGATAAAGGTAAATCTATAAATAAAAGCAGAACATTTAGTAATATTGCAAAAATATATTTTACCTAGAAACGAAACAAAAATAGACGCATTAATTTTAGTCCTTGCACGAATAATAAAAAATACACTTTCTAAAAATAAAAATAATTCACTATTAATACAGTCAAATCTTGCGTTTTCCTTATGCATTCTTTTAAACTAGGGTCCTTTAACCATGCGTCTCGAAACTTTTGAGTATATTGCGGTTTAGGCATGGTTCTGTAATCTGTAATACATAATAATTCAAAGTAATCTACATCATATATGTATCAGTATCATGCTCACTTACCAAAATCAAATAATTAGGCAGGCAGTCTTAAAATAGCAGAATAGTATGCTATAGCTACTAGAAAGCACACAAATTATACTGTAAATAATGTTCAAAAATCACCTAAATCATCGTATACGAGATAAACTTCAATTGTCTGTGCAAGAAAAAAACAATGTCTGTGATTCCCGTGGATGATGCTCAGAACGTGACGTGATCAAATCACGTGACAAAAAGATGGCGGCTGAATTTCTCGCGCCATCTACCGAAGGAATTGGCAAACATCATGCAGTTAGTGATGTGCAACCCCAATAGATGTCCCAAAACGAGGCGCAAAATCATTCATCTGACTTTCATACCCCTGATTTCCGACAAAGGAGAACTAAGAGAAGAAGTACGCATACGCAAATTAATTCATTGGTTCTGCCATCTATCGATTCGATGTTCAACTAAATCAAAATAGGATATTTTCCCAATGACAGTTTGCTACTTTCTTGAATTATTACTTCAATTGACAAAATGACATGAGTAACTAAGGTTCATAATGATATAAATCGAAAGTGGCTTACTAATTATTCTGATTCTTTCATTCTACTGGATTTTCTACTAGCCACTAGAACGTAAATTTGCCCACTAAATGAAGACTGCAATCTACCAGATCTAGTAGAGTTGGCAACCCTGGAGATGAACCTTTTGACAGAAGGCTGAAGGTTGTCAATGTTTGTGTTGAAAGATGGAACGAATTGTGGGCGTGTGCCAAACGTTGCCAAATCACTTCAGATGATGTGATTTTCAGAATGTTATGTAAGAAATTGTTAAACCGACCAGAGGCAGTTGAATAAACTATATTTTAATTAATGGGAATTTAAATTAACAATTATTAATAAATCGTGAGAAGAGAATTATTAGATTTTGAGTGGAATGAAATTTACTGGTGGAATCGGCCAAAACACAGATAGATTCTATTTATGGTTGTGAAGAGTCGAAATTTGGGGAGATATGCAAGTTCTCCAATTTTTCGCAGTTTAGCAAATATGAGTAAATGACACTCAGTTGTTTAACATCTGTCTTTTTGTTGATACAGTTGTTATTCATGAAAATGTGGGACATTTGCAGGAATAAACGTTTGGAAAGGTGTTTTTCTTTATCTTTTGTTGGGTACTTCGACAAAATTTAAGCAAGGAGAACTCTTTATACTTTTTTAATCTCTCTAGCTTTCAATGGTCTTTGCCATCATCATCAGGAGAGTAGTATGTGATGATGTTGCTAAATGTTATTTACGTTGAGGATGAGGGAAACACCCAGTAACATGGTGAAAGCTGGATACATGGTACAATGGTCAAAATTATACAAACTACACACAGCTGTATGACAAGAACAAATTAAAAACAGATTAAAAATATTTAAAACGAAAGTTAAGTGGTTTCACGATGTAATGCTTTTTTCAAATAAATTGAATAATGATATTAAACAGAGTTCGAATTTAAAAATATTTAAGTTGAAATTGAAAAATCACTTTATGAATAATCAAAATACATAGTGACGTAATTTTAATTGACAATAATGTAAAATTACAGAAAATGGATTGAAGAAAAATATGTATCCGAATCATTATACAAAATTGACTTGTAGCATTAATGCTAAATAAATCTTCAAAAACAACAACAACAACAACCAACTATATGCCACAAAAACAAAATATCCTTGTGTGACAACTCATGAAAATACCACACATAATACAACTGTAACAATAAATGGTGTATGGGACTAACGCGGACTAGAGAACATCAACATGCAATGGTGAAAAATACAACATAATTATGTCATAATTTTGATAAAGTACATGCGGTTAATTTTTTCTAGGTACTTACTGGTGACACTATGCCGCCTACTAATAGGACTAGAACTGCAATTGCTTTGTCCTGAGACGGACATGGACACCAACGATCCCACACTTTCTGAGCCAGTGTTCACGCTGCGGTGCTGATCTTCCGAGCTACCTGTCAACGTCGAGACTGGACTGGTGTTTGCTGAGAGAGCTGCCAGTGACGAACATGATTCGGTGTGGGGACCTGGATGGTGATACGCGTGTTCCTAGAAGAAGAATTTCATGGTAAAAGTATATTTCCGATACTGAGAATTTATTAAAGTGTTTTCAGACATCAACATTTAGTTTCTGTGGTGCTCTAGATATTAAAAAAACTAATATTTTCATAGCTGTCCGCATGGCTGTTGCATAAAAAATAAAAACAAATGGTTGATGCATCGTAAAATAAATTTATTTAAAATTTAAAAGGCTGGAAATAAAAATTATTGTGAAATGTAATAATTTTATTTTCATAAATATTCTTGCATATTTTTCATATAGTCGCTTCACCAATCAGGAATTTTTTTTATCACTCTCTTTTTTGAAATTAAGCAAATTTACATATGAAAGGTACAGGGGAAAAGATGAATGTCACAAATTTGGTGATTTGTAGTTAGAACCGGCAACATGTAGTTTTAACGCTACACATTCCCGTGAGGAATCGGAAACACCCAAAAACAATGACAATTGAACACTTGCCGTGTAATTTTTAAGCAGTTACAATTAATGTTGTTTCGTTTGTATTATATTCTTTTGAATAAAGATATTTTTGGTTTATTGTTTTTTCCTGTCCTTTGAGACAACAAAACTAAATGGTATTATCATCAACACAGATTGGTCATTGTCGTCTAGACCTGTTAGGTGAAAAATAAAGCCTCCGTCTTTTGTTGGATACTTTATTGATGCTAGCTTTCAATGGACTTTGCCATCTTCATCAGGAGCTGCAATAACATTGGGAAGAAATAGCAACTATTGTGCAAAATGATTTTAAATTACCTTACAGTAGTATGTGAGATTGTTGCTAAATGTTATTAACGTTTAGGTTGAAGGAAACACACAGTAACATATTAAAAATATTTAAAAACGAAAGTTAAAATTACATCGTGAACCACCTGATGCTGCACATAATGGTGTTGCACAGGATCATAATTAGGATGAAACATTTGACAGATGACAGAGGTTGGTGGTGTCAGTGTCGATGGATGGAACGAGAATTTTTGTAAAGTGTGTGCTATGTTGCCAAATCACTTCAGATGGTGTGATTTCCCAATCTTTTGAGGGCTATGTTTCAGTTAATATTACAATTTTATTGTGTCCTGTAGTACTAGCAGTAGAAAAATACGAACCTGGTGATGAAGCCTATGGCCTCCAATATTCCTTCTACCACCAGCCGCTGGTCTAGCACCGTCACCCAGCAAAAGTCCCAATCGCATGTACATGTCATGCTCGTGGGTCTTTCGAGGTCCTGAGCCTGATGAGGCGGGAGAAGACACAGCCTTTAAAGTTGCTTCATCGTCTGGAAAAATCATGCATTTTAGTATTGAATCAAGCAAAAGATGGGCAAACCGAGAAGAAAAAACCGGAAGATCAATCCTTCGTATTCATTCCTAAAAAAATCAATCATCCAATACCAGAAAATGTGCGTTGGTAATAACTTCAAAAATAGTGTTTTATGTCTCATTCCTATTTTTACGTAACGTTATTCATTGCCTTAGTAATAAGCAAACCTTAGAAAAAGCAACAGCAGTGAAGCAAAATTATTCAATAATAGTTATTTATGTATCTAGGTCGTAAAGTTGGCGTTTATGGCTTTCGATATGAAATTGAGGAAAAGGTAAAAAGCGGCCAACGTCAACCTGTATAAATGACAAAATTTTATTTACTGGGTGTTTCAGAAAGACCTGCCAATACTTTTAAGGCAGAAAACACATCAACAAATAACAAAAAAAAGTTCCTATAATTATGGGTCCAAGAACATTTTTTTAAGGTTCCCTGGGATGTAGAGACTGGGGTACCTGGGCCCCTAATATGAAATGTTTCTTACGTCAATGGCCTTTTCGGAGAAAAACGTGCATTTTATAAAATACCGTAAAATTTTTCATAAATGTTATCTGTTGAGGAATTTTTGTCAGATCACTCGTGTTGGAGATATTTAGGTTTGAACATTTGATGTAAAATCCTAAAATATTCTTATAAAAAGGTTTAGCCTCTCCCCTATTCGGAAAATCCGGTGAGGCTTCACGTTGTTTGCAGAATTGGGGAGGAGATGAGCCTTTTCATAAGAATATTAAAGGATTTCATTGCAAATGTTCAAACCTTAATATCTCCAAAACGAATGATCTGGCAAACATTCCTTCAGAGATAAAATTTATGGAAAATTGAATGGCTTTTTTATAAGGTGCATTCGAAAAGACCAGTGGCGTAGAAAATATTTCCTATTAATGGACCATGGACTTATTTCTTTATCCGCTATTTTTTCAATTTTGTAAATAAAACTTCATCACTCTGTTTCTCGGTATGGGAGCATCATTGAATCCATATATATATAGAATTTTTTTTTATTTTTGGATATACTTTTTAGCCGAGAAATATTGACACGTCTTTCTGAAACACCATGTATTACGAGGTATAAGTCAGGGTAAGTCAGTGCTTCAAAGCAGTCTTCAAGATGACATGAAAATAAATAAATTGATCAACTACTTTACCAGGTAAAGATAGTTGTAGCTTTTGCTTAATAACAAGTAAATATTGATAGCGAATTTAACGACAGCGGACACAAAGGTCAGTAGTAGCAGTAACCTTAAAACGTTTGAATAATTTTGTTTCATACACGAGTATAAATCATCAAAGTGTAAGTAAAACCAAAAAACAAAAACAAAATAGTGCAGGTTAGAGATCATGCCAAAGAAATAAAAAAAAACACACAACACACAAAAGTAATGTAAATATCCTGCCTGATGAAACGACTAGTTGATTTAGTCCCGCATTCGAAGATCCCGCTTTCCACAAAGACCTGATTTTACCTAACACAACGCTAGGCCAATGACGTCCTTCGTTTGAGGTCGTAGAAGAGGTCATCAAGGCTAGAATTATCGAAAATATCTCTTAGAATATATGTACATTATAGAGATAAATATACAACAGGCAGTTTTACGAACTTTCTGCAACAGAAACTGCATCTTACTTCCGACGCCTCCTGGCGCGGAAGTATTTCATCTGAAGATATCCAATCATACTGCATTCCGGTGTTTAAAAGCGACTTGAAAGATACCAGAGACTATGAGACACTAGCAGAATCACAGACTATAACTCTGAATTGTGAACTCACTTTTGTGTTCTGCTACTGTCTCATAGATGCAGGTAGTACCTCTCAGATACCCTTTTGGACTCCTCAATAACCAAAGCCAAAAGAAATCAAGATTTGGTTTGGAGTTTACCTATCCTGATCTTTTTAATTTACATGGAACCGCCACTGAGTCCGTAATATTGAAATCCTTTCACGATGCTCGTTTTTCCTACAAACTATCTCTATAAAAGAACCATTTCCGCTGCAGACTGTAAAAATCCCCAATAAAACATCGTACTTTATCACCGATTCCACAATTTCAAATTAATCTATGCAGCATGTAAATGCAAAATTACATATAGGTAAAAGTGCATATACGGCTTCGTATTAATGCGTATTGTAATGGCTTTCCTCGGGTTTCAGGCCGATATATTCGTCGGACAGTTTCATATACGTAACCGTGTAAGCCTGACTAACGGACGTGAACATGGTGGTTCTATGCAAATTTGTAATTACAAATGACTCTTTTGTACATTAGAAATATCTCGCTTATTCTTGTGAAAGCGCGTTTTTGCAAAGGAAGGTGAAAACGTTCGTCATTAAGACAAGCATTGGAGTTTATTACTCAGGAAGTTGATAGCTTCGATAAATAAATAATAGTTTTTCGAAAATATCGCCCACCGAGAGAGTAAGGTGCGCATAATCTTGGTCAGCGAAATAAGAAAGCGCAAAGCGCCATCTATTACCAGAATCACCATTCCGACAATGTATAGCAGTTTCGATTCACGTACTCTCTACCTACCTCGAAGTCTTGAGAGAATTGAGTTCAGAATTCTGCTATTTTTTAAATAAATAAAAGGTATTATTACAAAAGAACAAGAGTGAATGAATTTTTGCAATGCTGCATGACCTTATAGAGAGTCATTTAAATGTGATTTCGTATCATAATTGATGTTCAGGCCTTACATACAGGGTGTCCGCAAAGTTGGGGTTTTCCTTTACACGACGTGTAGATCTTGAAAACATAAGCACGCATGTGGCCGAAACCGATATGGGCTCCGGCCACATGCGGCCAAAAAATAGTTTTTCGAAAATATCGCCCACCGAGAGAGTAAGGTGCGCATAATCTTGGTCAGCAAAATAAGAAAGCGCAAAGCGCCATCTATTACCAGAATCACCATTGCGACAATGTATAGCAGTTTTGATTCACGTACTCTACCTACGTCGAAGTCTGATAGAATTGAGTTCAGAATTCTGTTATTTTTTAAATAAATAAAAGGTATTATTACAAAAGAACAAGAGTGAATGAATATTGCAAAGCTGCGTGACCTTATAGAGAGTCATTTAAATGTGATTTCGGATCATAATCGATGTTCAGGCCTTACAAACAGGGTGTCCGCAAAGTTGGGGTTTTCCTTTACACGACGTGTAGATCTCGAAAACATAAGCAATTTTTCCTAGTACCATATACACCAATGTCTTAAGGGAACCGAGATAAAGGGCTCTGCAACATCAAAAATATCTGAATACCGTCCTGTAGCCGCGACCCGCCGGGATATCCCAGACTGGTACAAGGTCTCAACCCGACGGCAGATCTGGGTCGAGGTCAGTGTGTCAGGTCAGTATGTAACCTTCAACAGACGGTTACGGTCACGCGTGTAGAGGTAATCGCGTAGACGAGAATCCTTCAACAAGCACTAGAAACGTGGCTAGAGAAGTGCAAGTATCAAAAACTAAAGTGTGGCAAACGCTGCGTGAATAAGGGCTGTATCCGTTTCACGTCCAACGTGTACAAGCCCTTCAACCTGACGATTTTCCAGCAAGAATGCATTTTTGTGAGTGGTTGTTGCATCAACATGACAATAATCCGGTCTTTTTGAAGTGCATATTGGTGACAGACGAATCTACGTTCACGCGTAATGGGGTGAATAACTTTCGCAACACTCATGTTTGGTCAGTAGAAAATCCGCACGCTGTCTGTCGGGCACATTTTCAACAAACATTTTCGGTGAATGTTTGGGCTGGCATGGTGAACGGTATGCTCATTGGACCGTTTATTCTCCCAAATCGATTGGACGGGATGCAATACCTAGACTTTTTACGCAACATTTTGCCTTCCTTGTTTGCCTGCGTCTGCTCGGTAGCGCATCAGCTGATTTCATTTTCTGTTGGAGCGGTACGATTTCGGGCAGAGACGTACTCAGCCCTTCTCGTCAACTGGAGAGCGAGTATTTTTTCCTTTATTTTTTTTTACTTGGTCGCCCTCGTTTCACTACACACTATCATTGTTATTTCATAGTTGTTTCTGAAAAGGAAAACCCCAACTTTGCGGACACTCCGTATATGGAATTTCGACTTTAATTGTTGGAAATCGAAAAGCTGTAACGTGTGGTTTACTGCATCTATACTCTGCAAAAAGAAATTTATTGCATTTTTCGTAGTTTTTATAATCCAGTTATATCATTTTGCCAAAGGAAAAACGCAGTAATGTAGAATTTTATTTTATTTTCATATAATTTATTCATATTGAAAGTCACATAGATATCACAAAATTGAAACTTTTCAACATCTAATAATTCAATTGAATACTTATACGATTGCATTAAATAATTGTGAACATTCAACAAAAATAATTATACAGGGTGTTTTCAAAGTTGTCATTTCTTTTAACTGCTTCTAGGACTCGTCAAAATGAGTTGATATACAGGGTGTAAACGTTATGGTAGTCATTATTGGAATGGGTAATAATAATATCGACTACAATCACCACAATCTTACTAATTTTTACAATCTAATCTAAAACATTTTTAAATTGGACAAATAAATGGCATTACGTTTTTCTAAGTTAAGCCAAAATTTGTAGTCAGTATGTAAGTTTCATTAACTTAAATATTTAAGACACACATGACAACAGCGCGCCAGTTTTTCATCATCCTTATCGAACCGGCAATCGATCGCAAACGGTAACAGTGGTTAGTATATTGTTTTGTTTTTGTTCGCGTACGTCGTCGTGTTTATTTACAATGTTCTCGAATCAAGAGTTCGCCTACATGTCGTTAGCTTACGGTGAAACTCGTCAGAATTCAAATCAAAGAACATTTGTGCAAGTGTCCCAAAGATTTCGAGATACAGGAAGTGTTCAGCCCACTAATATTCGCACTCGTGAAAGACAGATTTTAGTGTCGAGCAGGAGGAACAAATTTTAAATATATGAATCACAAATCATTCAGAACGAAAAAATTTTTATGCAAAAATAAATTTTACGTTTTTTCTTCTAAACAAATTCAAAAATTTCGTATTTGTGAGCAATTGAAGAAATGCGCTACGATAGGCTGCTGTTGTTAAATTCTTACTCCAAATGAAGTCATTTTTTATTCTGAATTTCTTCAACAAAGCCTTATTTTTTTGATTACCAGAACCATACACGTTTCAGAAACCGACGACGATTCCACGAGTTTTCGGCATATTTCCGCAAATAATGTAGATTCTAAAATTTTCTAGTACTACTTTTTGATATAAGTATTCGTATTTGTTAATTAAAACGTTGCTCCAATTTAACTAACTTTTTCCTTTACTGGTCTTTGTCGTAGTTAGGTAATCATAATCGAATTATAATAACGTTTTATCTGGTTTCGAATTTTGTTTGGAGTAAAAGTAAAAAAAGATTTGAATGCATCTTGAATGATCTTTGAGAACGCCTTCTTAAGTTTTTACAAGACCCGGTATTGTTATCCCATATAATTTTCATATGTATGAGTTTGCATACTCTTCAGCATATTTCGAACATGTCCGATCAACCCACATGCTACAATGTCTTTCCTTGGTTATGTTGGCGTCACAAGTGCCATATTCCTACACGTATACATCGGATCAGCGAGCTTCATTCAACGTAATTTTATGATGCAACAGCGTTTAAAAAATGCAAAATCCTTATATATTTTTTAGAGACCAGACATATAGTCTGCGCCATAAAACAAGGAAACCGCCTGTAAAGACTGGTACTCCAATAATAATTTTCAAGGATACTTGCAGTATCAGTTTCCTTTTTATTTTATTTCTTGATTCTTGTGTCTTTCAAAAGACCTACCAACTTTCCCTTTCGCTTTGACCGTCTCCAAGACTAGACCTAAGACCTATAGATGAGTTTTCAATGAACACGAAACAGCGCTGTCTGCGGTTGGTCACGGTTACAGGAGACCGAAACTAAACATGTCCTTTTGTCTTGATTATTCTCTAAAAGCCCAAATTTAGCAATTATTACAACTATTAGAGATTTTACGCTGTTGCGCATCGTCCAAGTGCATAATTTGTCAGCTTTCATCACTAGAAAAGTATTTACTGGGAGTCGAATCGCCTACCTATCGGTCGCGGCTGCTGCTAGCATCGTGCGACGACCTTGATCGGCGTTCTGGTATGGAATCACGCGTATTTCTGGCGTGCAACAGCATAGTGTTTTCTATGCTCTGGCCGCGCTAACATGGTGCCACGTCTGCCCGAGTTAGGTACCGGGCAGAGGTGACATTTCGAGTTGCACTACCGGTAGGACAGGGTCTATGGATTAATAATTGTAAAGAACTTTTGTCTCAGAGTGTCCAGTTTGTGCTGAACGTATTCCTTCATGTACTGATGGAGGGCGTTTCGTGGCAAGTTAAATATATCTAATAAAGCGAACCTTAGATTCTTACCAGAAAGTGCGGCGTCATTTTGCCTGGCAGCTCTACTTAGAAACGGGCTTCTGAGCGCCTTGGGGCTCAGAAAGAACTTCTTCCGCGCCTGCGGCGGAGTCGGACAACTCTGGGTCATCACTCCACCACCTGAGTGCCTTACGTGCCCTCCACCGCTTGAAGGTCTGGTTTTCGGCAATTTTTCTGGATGACCCGAAAGTAGACCGCCGTCTTGATGGTCTCTGGACGGCGACAGGTCCTGGCGAGCCTGAAAAGAAAAACAGGTCTATTCAACGCGCCGTATTCATGAAACAAAGGATATCCTTGTACTTGCAAATTTTGAAGGACATCCTCCAGATGGTATTTATAATAATTTGAAGTAAACGCTTTTGCTTTTTGAGTATAAGCATATCCTTCAAAGCAGTGACATAATTAAAATGATATCACATCCAAAAAAATATCTCATTTTCGAAAATTTTCGGGATTACACAACGTTCCCGCCAGCAGGCGTGGGAAGTAAAAAACAGCCTATATGCTACTATTGAAAAAGCAAATGAAATGCACAAGCATCAATTTTTTTCAAAGTAAAGCGGTAAAAGCAGTCAACCAGAAAAGATGCGATTTTTTTTCAATCGAAAGTGTTTCTGCTGGATGACAGTGCATAAGGCTGCCAAAAATCGACCAATTGTGCAGGATGGCAGCTTCATTAGTTTTAGGTTTGCTGGTAGCTCAACGATATATATTTGGGTATTTCTTAATCGATGTGAATATAGTGTGGATGTTTGTTAAGTTCCTGAACAACAGAAAATAACCAACTTTATGGATATACGGATATTAAAAAACCAGAATGGTTTTGTGGGAATATCAATCTAAGGTGCCATAATGGTTCTGATGAACGGCAAGTAAATGATTGAATGTTTGAAAACGAGCAATATCTATGAAATTTGATATTTCAAGGACAAGCTCATCCTCATGCTTCGACGATATTTTGTTTCCAACATTGCATAGGTATTAGTTGCTGAAATTTGTTGAAGCTCATTCCGACCCTATACCCCTATATGTGGAGGACTGTTAATTTGACGACCTTGGTAAAATCCACCCTAAAAGCAACCGTTTTTGAAGGTCAAGAGGGAATATTTTTTACAAGGATATAAGTTCACTGGAGGAGAAATCGCGCAAGTGCATTGATATAGGAGGAGATTGTATTGAAAAATAAAATTATCAAAAAAATCGAACGTCTTTTGTCTCATGGCTGGGTAGATTTCTTTTCTAGCACCCCTTGTATATATCTGTACCAAATTTCATCCACTCCAGTCCTGTCATTTTGGCGTGATTGAGAGTAACAAACATCCACACCTTTTCATTAATAATATTAGTATGGTTCATTCTGGTAGCAAAAAACTGACAGTACATGGCTGGCAAGAAGCAACCAACACAAATCATCTGTCCGTTAATCTATTACGTTTCCATTTAACCTTGTAATGACATTCGTTAAAGGAATTCCAGACATTGATACCTGTATCGTTAGCATTGAGACAATCGATAAGTAAACGTTCGTATTATCCGTCATGCCGTTCGAATATTCTTGGATACACCTATCGATTTTGTTCTTTGCGAGCCGCAATTAAGTACCTCATATCTGTCGACAAGAAGACGTTGTCGTCTCATTCTTGTATGTGTAGGGTTGCCGCCATCCATCCGACCTCAGTCTGACATTTTGGCTTTTTTCGGTCCTGTCCGGCCAAATTTTTGTTTCGAAATTGAGATAATAGGGTTTTTTGGATGTTATATGGAAATACATTTTTCACATAAGGTTTCTATGCCAAGGACAGAAACCTTTGTAGATTTTGAAAATCGATCCAGTTCTTGACATTTCAGATGCTCCTGAGCATTTTCAGACAACGGGTTAAAAATTTTATGTTGGGGGCTGTAGGCGGTGGGGAAGAGTATCTACGAGGTTTGTTCGACAAGTATCGCAATTTTTGAATTTTCGCGGGCTACGTATGTTCGATCTTCGATCTTTTGGTGGCGTTATGTTGGTACTAATGACCCTTACTGATGTTGACAATATCGGCCATTTTGAATTAAACCTTTTCCGTACTATTTGCTAAATTTCCCGTTATTTGAATTTTGATGGAGAAGTTACTTCCACATTTTACAATGTATCATTCAATATTCATATGTTTGACAATTATATATATCAAACATAAAGAAATTTCTATTACCTCATTAGTCATATCTTCAGTGACGTAAAATTGTGTGATTATAACATAGATGTTATTCGAGAATGTCCAAAAAGCATGGCAAATCAACGACTATCTGGGAATCTACTACATATCTACTTTCAGTAGGATGTCATACCCATTATGAAGCTCCGTTCTCTCCTTCTTGCGTGGAATTGCCTCTACCTGAACGAGGTGTGTTTTGGGCGTGGACACGACAAACGGTATCCACGTAATGTGAGGAGGAACACGTTCTAAGAGAAAATCAAACCCATCTTTGGACATGCGTAGCAAATTTTTCTGATCCTCAGGGAACTTCCGCGATCCCCCGAGTTTCTCCTTGAACCCACATACTTGCTGACAAAATAACGATTATTCTTCCAATTTTCCATCTGTTCTCATAACTTTCTTAGCTTTTTTTGCTACCATCGCACTTAAAACCGAACTCAAAACCTCACAACCTTCAACCACATGTTTCGCCATAGTCAGCTTCAAGGAATTAACTGAAACTGAACTGTGAACCATGTGAACAATCCACGACTGCTGCTGGTTCACGTTCATCCCCCAATCCAGCCAAGATTCATGTCAGCAAAATCGCAAGCGTGCCACGCCACCGACAAACAGTAGACGCGGCTTTCATTCAAATTTGCCGCTGCCTTCAATTTGGATATCAGACTATAACGCCAGAAAACTGAGATATACCCTCCCCCGGTCCAGACAAAACCCTACATTTTTAATCCCTACAAAATATCTTCAGAAAATGATCAGAGCCTCTGAATCGTCAAAAAACGAAGAATGAGCGATTTTTATATTTTCGTTTTCGTACAATAATTTGAACTTTATACAATTGTCCAAATTGAATTCAATAATTGATATATATATATATATAACAACAAGTAGGAAAATAATGGGCAAAATCCGCAAAAAGGAAGAATGTGGATTCGAGCAGAAAATAGGATAGGTAACCCGAGCGATACGTATTTTTGCTGGTTGGCTTCATCAGGCCCCTCCTTTCCGAGAATTACCTGTTAGGGGAATAACTAGTAAGATAAAAGCTTTGTCGAGAATTACTTGTTAGGGGAATAACTAGTAAGATAAAAGCTTTGTCGAGAATTACTTGTTAAGGGAATAATTAGTAAGAGGAAAGCTTTGTCGAGAATTACTTGTTAGGGAAATAATTAGTAAAACAAAAGCTTTGTCGAGAATTACTTGTTAGGGGAATAACTAGTAAGATAAAAGCTTTGTCGAGAATTACTTGTTAGGGGAATAACTAGTAAGATAAAAGCTTTGTCGAGAATTACTTGTTAGGGGAATAACTAGTAAGAGGAAAGCTTTGTCGAGAATTACTTGTTAGGGGAATAACTAGTAAGAGGAAAACTTTGTCGAGAATTACTTGTTAGGGGAATAACTAGTAAGATAAAAGCTTTGTCGAGAATTACTTGTTAGGGGAATAACTAGTAAGATAAAAGCTTTGTCGAGAATTACTAGATAGGGGAATAACTAGTAAGAGAAAAGCTTTATCGAGAATTACTTGTTAGGGGAATAACTAGTAAGATAAAAGCTTTATCGAGAATTACTTGTTAGGGGAATAACTAGTAAGATAAAAGCTTTGTCGAGAATTACTTGTTAGGGGAATAACTAGTAAGATAAAAGCTTTGTCGAGAATTACTTGTTAGGGGAATAACTAGTAAGAGGAAAGCTTTGTCGAGAATTACTTGTTAGGGGAATAACTAGTAAGATAAAAGCTTTGTCGAGAATTACTTGTTAGGGGAATAACTAGTAAGAGGAAAGCTTTGTCGAGAATTACTTGTTAGGGGAATAACTAGTAAGAGGAAAGCTTTGTCGAGAATTACTTGTTAGGGGAATAACTAGTGAGAGGAAAGCTTTGTCGAGAATTACTTGTTAGGGGAATAACTAGTAAGAGGAAAGCTTTGTCGAGAATTACTTGTTAGGGGAACAACTAGTAAGAGGAAAGCTTTGTCGAGAATTACTTGTTACTTTCTCCGCATGATCATATTCTCTCTCTCTATATATATATATATATTCTTCAAAAACATTTTATGGTGGAAGAATCATCAAATTGGCGCATGTTAAAAGCACTGCTAGTCAGGCGAGATAAGGCGCCATCGAAACGTGGTTTATTAATTGATTTTGCGACTGTCATAAACATAAACTGCATCATGCAGATAACGTCTTCTAGATAACAGTACATCGCGTTTATAGCTTCTCTTTTTTTACTGTCTATACGTTGAAGCAGCATTGGTGTTGCCATGAAGATTCCACTGGGGGGTCGCGAGGTTGAGGATTTTTAACAAATCTTATTAGTTTAGAGATAAATCATTCTCTCGTCAGTTTGAAACGTCAAAGCAGATAGTCGCCAGATTTTGACACAAAACTTATGGTATTTTATGGGTTCTTTTAGAACTTCAGATACATGGTGCGGCAAAACTAACTCGGCAGTTAAACACATAAAAAAGGCATTTCGAAAATGTATTAATTTTGGAGTGACCAGATTGTCAGATAATCCCTAATACTCGTCTGGCCAATAAAATCCCATGTATTGACAGAATCTTCTTTACTGTAAACGTTTCAATCACAAATTCATCACGCTTGTTTTTTTTCCATATCGCATTCTTATTTAGTCTAAAAGTCCTGAAACATGCTGAGATTGCACGAAGTCTTCATTCAGAATTTTAAGACGAAACAACGCAAAACCAGCTAACCTGTGGTAGGGATTCCCGCTCCCAAAAAAGGACGTCCAGCCATCCAAAACGACAAGCGTATCTGTCGTTTTTTAATGTACCAGATAGGTCACCCTCGACCATCGTCCCAAAAACGCCAAAAGAAAAAAAATGTGCGAAAATCCAGCCAGAACTGTTGTAACACACCGGTTAATAATGCGGATTATATCCGTTGTTGCCAAACACGAACACATAATATTATTATTGAGACAGGGCGGTACTCAAACTTCCAAAGGGCTATAACTTTGTTACTTTAATTTTACCAGAAAAATGGTAAAGGAAAAAAACATTTCTTTTGATCAGAT